TACTCTTTTTCTTGTTTTTTGTCTGCTTTGTTCCATTTCAGGCGTACGCGATATGCGCGCTAATCTGGCCAACTTCAAAGCTACTTAACTTTTATCCGTTTAAGCCATCAACGCAGGCAGGCAGGCAGGCTGGCTGGCTGGCAGCTGAAAACAAATGGCAAAGAAAAAGCGCAATGGCAAGACGTTGAAAAGGGATGGCAAGAAAAGAGTGCTCGAGCGACAGAGAGAGACAGCGAAAAAAGGGGAAAGAGAGAGAGAGAGAGAGAGAGAGAGCAGCATGAATGTATTGTGTGGCCTGGCGACATTCTCGCTTGACTGCACTGAGAGCTTAAAATGTCTCTCGGCTTTCAGCTGCTGCTGCTCCTCTTCGAGGCCAGGCTGCTGCTGTGATTGCGATTGCGGCAGCTGTTTATGACATTACTCATACGCCTCGTTGACCTTTGGCATTGTCAGTTGGCCAAGTAGTCAGCTATCTCTCCAGCTCCCCATATCTGTCTGTCTGTCTGTCTTTCGGTGCTGAAAAGGCGCCAGCACTTAAAGTGCAGCAAGCGAGCTTTGAACATATGCTGGTCCATCCATTCGACTGATGAACAAGTTGCTGCAGCTTCACTGTACTTCCGTCAGCCGTTGCGGATGAAAACAAAAGGGTAAGGCAGGAGCTGGAAACAACAATGTTGCCTGCCCGCCTGCCTCGCCTGTCTGCTTAGAAATGCAAAGCAGCGTGCAGCGGCAAACACAACACACAAAGTGATTTTTATATTAAGACCACAAGTGCCTTGCATGCAGCCCGACCACGACCCACCACCACACTCATCGCTGGGCTGCCATTATGATGACTTGCAAGGCACGCTGATTGCCACAGAAAGCGAGAGAGAGAGAGGAGCTCTACCCCCCGTCTCAGCGTCTCGGGTTAGGGTTTTTCAACTGCTTTGGGTTTTTGTGTTCCCTATGCGGGTGCATGCTGCGAGTGTGTGTGTGTGTGTGTGTGCGTTGCATGAGATAATCTCTGGGCTATGTGCGTGCCACACGCCAAGCACGCAAGCATCCTTGGCTCTAGGCATCCTGGGATGCACAGCCAGAGCCACAGTAAGCGCGGATTTTTTGATGGTTAATAAAAATTCCAACATTGTCTCGTGCAGTTCATCATGGCCAAGCCATATAAGTAGGGCAACGAGCGATGACAACATTAAGAAGCTGCCTGCCTGCCTGCCTTTCACAATTTTCCATTTCCTCCATTTATATTTTGTCTTGACATTTATTATAGTTTGCCAGAGATTCTTGCCTTAAATTATATTTGAATTGGTTGGAAAATTGTAAGCCAAATGCCATAACCAAGACTCTCTTTGTGGCGTTTGCCAGGCTTTGGCTTTTCAATTAAATCTAAATGCATTTGTGTACATTTTAGTTATGGCAACTACAGCAGCCAGAGCCAGAGCCAGAGCCAGCCATGTCAAACAAATACAAAATATGCTGCGCTTTGCACACACATAAATGAAAATGGCAAGCAATCACCTGCAGCCATTTTCCAATCAAGCTGCGTAGCTTTTCTCCAGCTAAATCCCCGGCACATTTAACGCTGAGCTCAGCTCAGCTTTATGACCAAAAACAAACAGAACAAAAAACAAAAAGCAAAGCGAGGGATAACCATGAACATGAACCGTGAAGCATGAACACTCGGGGACCGGATCCGGATCACATTCACAGCTGCATTCTAGTCCTCGTCCTCGTCCACATCATCATCATCATCGTCCATGATGGGCCATCGTCAGCGTTTGGAATTTAGATTTTCAATAATCAGGCATCATTGAAAAACAAATACGCGTTGGATTTTTGGCTTCAATTGAATTGTTGGGGGGTTGCAGGAATGCTCTCCGAGTGTGTGAAGCTAGTCCTGGGGCTCCTGGATTTGTTACATAAAACGTGATTGGCTTTGGTAGAGTGCGTAAACGAGCACGAGGACAGGTGGGGGCGGGGCGTTGGCTGCTGCGAATATGCTTATGCCACACACACACACACACACACACGCTGCAACCTGCAGCTGCAGAGATCAACTGTTGATGGAGTCAGCTTGGAGCTGCGCAACTCAATCAAAGATTTATGCTGGTCGGGGCAAAAGTCTTTCCAACTAAATTCAAGTCAAGTTTCTGTTTGTGCTGACCCCCCAAGAAACTTACTCACGTAATTTCTGTTACAATTTTGTGCTGAATACGAGCAATCAATTCACTTTCACTTTGGATAATTTTACTCACACTCGAGGAGCAGCAGCAGCAGCCGCAGCAGCAGAATATATGTGGCCACGGCATCTGCATTGACAATTTGCTGTAAGGTCATACAACATTTGCATAATTCAATGAGCATACAATCAATGGGCTGCCACATAATGATGCACGTGGCATGGGCACCGGCACCGGCACCGGCACAGGCACTGCCACGAGTGGAGGTGGCTGTGGGAATTCTATTCGAGCAATTTGGTGCGATTAACTGCTCAATTATTTAAGCATCCCGTGGCGCATGGCAGCAAAAGCAAAGAAGAGAATCTGAAAGAGAAATCAGACTGGACTCATGCTCCACTTGCGCTCAAATGGAACGGCCAATGGCCACACACACACACACAGAAAGCACTTAGTGCACAGTTACTGCCACTGTCCAGCACTGTCCTCGTTCCTCTGTCCCTACCCAGCACTGGCCTGAAAAAGGGTTGCAATCAATTGACATTGATGTGCGCCAGACCAAAAATTATTTCAATACCCACGAGCCTTGGGGCACGTCGTGTATCAGTCGCACAGTCGCACAGTCGCACAGTCCTCAGACCTCGTTAAATCTAACATTTATAGCTGATGACTTTTTGGCTGTGACTGTGCCTAGTTCACGGCTACGAGCTAGGCATACTTTTAATGGCCAAGACACAGAACCAGGGCCAATCTTGTGTATCATTATAATCCGTGGCCATTTAGTGGCACTATTTGTCGCTGATACGACTCCCTTTATGGGGCTGAGTGGAGCCTGCGAGGCGGACCATTGTGCATGCAAAGTGTGCCACTCGAAATGGGAGGGGCAATCGTAAAAATACGTTTTATTGCCCAGCAGGAAGCGCCTCAAGACATGTCCCGGCATCAAAGCCACTTTAATGTCATGTGTGTGGGAGTCTGCTGTGTGGGTTGGGCAACTAATTTATAAGTGGGTGGAAGCAGGAGGTGGCTGTAACATGAAAACTAAAGTGCAAAGTATGTGGAAAGATGTTGGGCGGGTGGGGGGGGGGAGGGGTAGCAACAACAGAACTATGAAACGACAATAAAATTTAATGATTATGTCAGCACTTACAATACACACGGCCAATCCATGCCACGGCGCTTTACAACACTGGCGCACCCTTTAAACTTGTCAGCAGCAGCTCGTCGCTCTGTCCGCCTGTCCGCCTGTCGATGCTGTCCGCCTGTCGATGCTGTCCGCCTGTCGATGCTGCCTGCCTGCCTGCCTGCCTGCTTCATTGATTTTTATATCAATTTTCACACTAATATCTTTTATTATGTAATTTTTATGCATGAGACAACACACACACACACACGCACACCAACACACACTTACAGCCGTTACAGCAGCAACCATGTCCGTGGCAGATCTTTTCTCTGCTGCTCCTTCTGCTGCTTCGTTGTCATGCCACGGCGTATACGTTATATTTGATTTTTATTATCAGTTTGCCTTTTGCCCAGGTATTATTTGTTGTTGAGCGCGGGGGTTTTTCAATCACAAAAATTGTTCAATGCATATCTGCACCGTTAATTAAGTTAATTTTTGATTACATTTTAATAATCAAAAGTTTTGTAAGTGGCCGTCCTCGTTGGCACGTCCTCCATGTCCTTTACAAGCTGTACGTCCTGCATTTTTTTCATTAATAAAATTGTGTTGATAATTTAAAAAGTGCTTTGCATGCGCATCATGTGCATCGATAAGCCAGCCTCGTCTTCCTCTGTCCGACAAGCGGTGGCAATTAAATTCCATTTAAAAATGGCATTAAAAACATCAAAAATGCATTGCTACTGTGCGTACGTAGCAGCTCTGATAAGCTCAGTAAGTTAGGGTATTCGTTTGGGGTATACGCCCATGGATCAAAGTATTGTGACACATTTTTGGCTGCCTGAGGCTGCTGTATATCCTTCATTGAGGTTTATTTCGAGTCACACAAATCACCATAAGGTATAAAGTACTATGACCATCGGTCACTTGTCGCTGCATGACTGCAATTGATGTCTCTGTTATCGCATAAATTATTACATTCCGTTGCTTCGATTGAATAATGTTCAATGCACATTTGATTATACCAATATGTTGAATGCGCACTTAAAAGCGGCCACAATGCGTTTTTTATATTTAATTTTTATTCGCTTTTATTTGCTGTTGCTGTTGCCTTTGGGCTTGGGCTAATAAATGAGCTGCCGCAGGAGCAGTGATTCATTTATTGATTTTTAACAGTGGTGACACGAGCACCAATCACGCGGCAAAAGTCAAAAGAATTTGATGTGCGCTTGGGGTAGCAGAGAATTAAATACCAAAGAAAATCGTAAAAGAAAATACATTAGAAATTATAAAAAAATCACTCCAAAGTTGACTTTTCTTTCATTCTTTATAGTGTTGTTTATTTTTGTCAATGTTTATAAATGTGGGGAATGGTTTGTGTATCCTTGAGTGTGGGTCCGACTTATATTTGTCAAACTAAACGTCCAGAAGTTCCATGCGAGTGCACACCGCGAGAAAGGTTTCCTCCAGTGCGCATTGTCATTTGCATGCACACGATGGAACTGCAGAACAACCAAGATCACATCGGTAATCGGGGGAACATCCTGCTTATGTATCATCGGTGGATCGAAAGATATCCAAGGATGCGCTTCACACTTGCGATGTCAACTTGAGTGGTCTGCAGTGCCACCGTTTGCATGAAAATGGCGATGCGTGCCGGTGGAAAACCTTCCTCGTTGTGTCCACACTCATGGAACGTTTGGGCGTGCAGTTTCACAAATATACATGCCGGCCTTTGATTACTTTGTATTAAATGCAATTGTAACACCGGCACTGTAGACCGGGTGTAGGTTTCGGTTGAGTCTCCACGCAGCTGTAGCCATGGGCGGCAAATCCCTTGGCGTTCCGGCTAAGAATGTTCCACTGGTAGTTGGGTTGTTGAGGATCCCGAACAGCGCATTGAGTAACTCCTGTGCCAAGAGAGTTCAGAAAAGTTTCTTCTGCGCCAAGAGACCTTTCAGTTGCTGTATTAATTCGAAATTTATTTTTAGCTTCGTTTTTGTGTGAATTGTTTGAACGGAACTGCAAAAAGGAAACAGTTTTGAATTAATACAAAATAAAACCGTGACAAAAAGCTTGCTTTTCGCTTTTCCGAAAAAAAAACTAACTTTTTCAATTAATTTAATTTAATTTTTTTTTTAACAATTACTTCCGGTTTTTGTTTTGTTGGCTGCTTTTGTGGCTGCCTTGAATTGAACTGAATGAAAGCTGTCTATGTGAATTCCAGCCAACTTCGATCCGAAAACTTTTGTAGCAGCTAAAAATTGTTTTGAAACCGATAAGAAAATTTATTTTTAAATTTAATTTATTTGCCTCTAAACTCACTATTTTTTATGCCGAACTAAGCAGAAATTTTTATTTTTTTTTATTAAAAGAAACACGAGACTGATGGGTTGCTTTTTCACACGCGAAAATTACTTTAAAATTTTTTTTTTTTTCACTAACAGTTTTTTCCGAATTTTTTTAGTTAGACTGCCTTTGTGGCTGTCTCGAATTGAACTGAATGCAAACTGTACGAACTGTTGGCTGGTCAGTTCAATGACAAATAAAAGCCTACTACGTCGACTAGAAAAAGTTTTGTAGCTGTCAAAAATAAGGCTGAAATCGTTAAAAATGGATACATAAAAAAAAGACGCAAAACAGGGTAGCCAACGATTTATTTGAAATTTTAATAGGACTTGGTACTTGTCTCCTTATTCGATTCAGTTGGATAATGGATAATGTTTCCACTGTACGTTGTGGTTTTTTACACACTTGCACGATGATTACAATAGATCAAGGGGGAAGGCTAGGAACGAGGACTAGAGGATGCTTTAAGGAATATTAATGGCAACATGTTTTCGGTTAATACAGATCAAAATGCGGACGGCAAAAATAACAAAAGTTGATGTGTTGATGCTCTCATTGAATATCTGATCATTTATATTTTAAATAATTCAATATGCACAATTTCGGGCATACCTTTGGGTAAAATGAAGCAAAATTGTTCAATTAATTTCGCTGAGTATTGCCATTCCCCCTTGCAAAGTTGAACAACCTTCGGCTAGGCTGTGTATAAAAACACACAAAGAGACGTTGCGTGGACGTGCACTTTGGCATTTGGAAAATCATAAATATTTGAAAGGAAAATAACTGAAAATGAGCGGACGAGCAGTCGTCCTGCCTGTGGCATTCCATTGAGCCAGCCAAGCAGTGTGAAAATGCTCACAAAAGAGCCATTAGCAGGGAATTGGTAGACACAGAGGCACACACAAAACCCCAAGCCACACATATGCCAGACGACGGATGAGGAGCAGTCAAGTCAGCTGCTTAGCCAGCGAAAGCCTCCTCCTGCACACCACTTCGCAGTCGCTGCATCCGTGCCTCAGATAGTCAGCATTTTTCAATGGCGCAACAGCCGGCGGTCGTTATTAGTATGGGGCGTGGCACAGCCAACACCAAAAGCCGACACACACAGAAACAAAAACAGCAAAGAAAATGTGCAGCTTAATGGTCGAAGTTGAGAATACACTTTGGCGGGTGGCAAATTAAAGTTCAAGCTGTGTAAGCAGTTCGATTGAGAGACAGCAATGAAGCTGCCAGTAGTCTCTGAAATGCTTACGCTGCTGCCTTGCCAAATAGTTTTGCACAGCCAAAATACCCTGAGAGAGAGAGCTCACAGAGAGCTCGAAGCATACTCATATTTATGAGAAAGCCAGCGATTCCTCTTGGCCGACTTTTGGCCATGTTTGGTGTCATTTTCTCTTAAGCCATTAGCACGTACTCGGCCCAGCAGCACGGGGAAACGAATAGGGATTCTGTCAGGGAACAAGCAGTGCCACAGCAGAGAGCATAAAGAGAAATATATTCATGTATGGGCAGGCCGCCGCAGGCTGTTGACGGAATTGGCTTCATTGTTGTAATGTTTGCCGCGGGCAGCGGGACAGAGAAAAGTCTAAGCAAAAAAAAAACTAAGTAGTTCATCTTGAGGTGGGGGAGGGTTGCAGCGCTCTTTTGTTTTAAATTTTAAGTATCAGGCTAAGTAAAGTATCAAAAAAAAAAAAAGGCAGCAAATTGTCGCAAAAACAAAAGACTAAATATGCTGGCAAAGAGGAAAATGCCTAAAATGAAAAGCGGGGGGAGAAAGTAGAGTCTCCTCCCTTGAAGCAGAACACTCGCTGTTCGCTGCGTCTTGACACAAATAGGTTTCCGCCCTAAATCCCAAATATCCCCGGAAGCCGATTAAGTGTTGCCCGTAAGCGCGCGCAACAGCATGAAAGGCGACTGCAAATTGTGCTCATAGAAGGGAGGAGGAGAGAGGCTTGGAGCTTGGGACAAAGATGTAGTAGGACTGGAGAGAGAGAGAGAGAGAGAGAGAGAGAAAGAGCGAGGGAGCGAGAGGTTGCTATGGAAAATAATGGCAATACACGCTGTTTTGGCAGCTGCCAGGACTGTGACGTGGGTTGCTCGAGTAGTGGCAGGAAATCTGCTCTTCTGGGGCTGACAAAACTCCTGTTGCTACCCTCGCTGACTGGCATCAGGCGCAGCCGGCATGTAAACACTGCAAAACACATTACAATAAAAAATTTATCGTTATTATCCTTTGGCAAAGTGCTTTTCAATTGAGGTATGGACAAGCCGCACACACACAAACCCTGACAGACTGACGGACGGACAGACGGACAGATAGACGGACAGACGGTCATATCCTTGGCTTTATCTGAGCTCCTGCCACACGCGTGCGAGTGTGTGTCTCTCGTCGAAGGATGATTGATGCTGCCGCTGCTGGACGACTTCATTAAATTCTCTGAAAATATCCCAAATATCCGTCATGGAATATTTTCTTTTCTTTTCTTTTGCGTTTCTTTATGCGTAATGTAATAGTCAAACAATTACCGGGCGATGCCGCAGTGTTGATTTCCCTCATCATATTTATTTAGATTTTTGCCAAAGCAATTTGCATGCGAATGTGCGGCAAGTGGGACACAGGAATGGGGAGTGGCAGATACGTGGAGCTTACACGCTTAAGCTTGAAGCGACAACTCCATTTATATTATTTCGTTTCCCCTTTGGAAATTAATATGTCATTTTTGTCACCTACACAAGGACACACACACGGGGGAAGAGAATTCTGGCAGATAAAGTGAGAAAAGGACACGCCAGCAAAAAGGAGAGACAAGAAAATGCCGAGCAGCAAATGTTAAAGGGAGGTTGTGCCCCAAGCAGAAGCTGTGCAAAAATGAAACCAAAAAAATAAGAGGAAAAATAGCGCAGAATGTGGGCAGGGGCTGGGGCTAAAAGGGGGGCGGTGGGCGTGTGAAAAGGAGCAAAAGAAAAAGAGAAAAATGCAAATAAAATAAAATAAAAATGGGTGTCCTGTCATGTCAATATTTGCCGCCGCCAGTAGATGAACTCAATTTGCAATTGGCATTGAGTGGGACACAGCCAGCGACATGTGTGTGACACAAGGTGTAGATTGGGTGCACACACACACACAGAGCCAGACACACACTTTAATGGCAAATCATGGGAAAATTGATTGACATTTTCATTACACAACTTGCACAGACAAAAGCAAAACGGAGCTAGCGAAATGCGAGAAGGGGTTTCGCCTCTCGAATATTGTTTGCCGTTGGCTGCTGCACCGCAAATAATTAATGCCACTCATTAAAATAATAAAGTGCACATGTATGAGGCTTGCAGCAAGCAGCATGAAATGTGCCTTGAGTAATTCAGTTTTAATTGGGGGAATATTGAATAATTGAAGACTGGCTTGAAGATCCTGATGGATCGGCAGGCAAAATGTTAATTATCCAGCATTAATAATGGCACTGGCTAACCACGCTACCTGCTTATGATTAAGGCACAAGAACATCACGCAGACATGACAGGTTGACCCGAACCCAAGACATTAAATTTTGCCAAAGGTTTTGCTTCTGTTGCGTTGACACTTTGTGTAAAGTGCAGGGCCATTGAAGAACAACAGACAATTGACTTTTTGGGAGCAGACGCTGAGCATTCAATTAATTGAGCAATTAATTAACACACCATTGGCAAGAGGCACGAGAAAGGAGCAGCCTCTGCTGAAGCCACAAACAAAAGGAAGGAGCAGGCAGCCAGCCATTGAAGACAGCTGCCGACAAGAGATGTTAAATGGGAATGGAAATGGAGGCACAATGGTCTGGCTTGGGTTGGGTCTGGGGTTTGCTGTTATTAAAGCTTCGCGGAGCACGTGAAATTATGAAGTTGAAAAATTAATTCAGCCAAAAACTTTGAACTTTCCATTATGTGCAAAGAGATAGAAGGCAGTCGGGGGGCAGTTTGGGACTTTGTGTAAATGAAAATGAGATTTTTGCTGCCGCTTGGATGCTGCAAAATTTTCCAATTTGTGTGCTCGAGTGGCGCCGTCAGCTACACTCGAGTAATCAATGGCTGGAAGAAGACTCCAGCAATGCGACGCCCACTTCGACTCCTTCCTCCTCACACACTCCATCCAAACCCAAAGCGGAATGTGTAAAAATTAATGGCAAATGCGGCACCCGCTGGCTCCAGCTCCTCATTCAGCTGCTGGCTTGTCCTTTTGGTACTTGGATATGTTATAGATTGCTGACGGATATCTAATTGTAAATACACACGTCTCGGACTGAACTGAATTGAACTTTTGGCATCGATGCAATCCGACAGACTGCGTCACGGGCAGTCACGGACGACATGTGTCTGGATCAAGCTACTGTTGTTGCTAGCCAGCCACGCCCCATGCTGTGCCCTGACCTACATATATGCATATGTAACACCTAACAGCACATGGCCTGACTCTCTCTTTTACACTCCTTTTTCTGTGGGAACTCTTGCTTGCCTCACCAGACACTTTGTTCGCTTGTTAGGTTGAATTTTCGTGTTAAGCGGATGCCTGACTCCCTGTGGCACTCCACCCAATGGTCTCGTACATGCATTTCCGGTTTAATTGATTTTGCCACAAAATGTGAAATGTGTCGAAAACGAGAGCCACAGCAGGCCAGCTGTCGCACACCCCCAATGTCGCCACAAAAACTAGAAGAAACTTGGGGTAGCTCTCCTCTGTGCTTCTTTCTGGTTCTGGTCTTTGATTGCAGATACTTGGTAAATAAATATTGGCAAAACCAATGACTGATTGAAAGGACCACACAGGACAAGTAGACTGCTGGCTGCCTGTCTCTCTGGGAATTTTCAGAAGTTTTGCAATCAAGGCAAGAACCAAAAAGCTTAGACCAAGGTGAACAAATCACAATTACCAAAAGGGAAAGCAAATCAAAGTAAAGTCAACTTTTGCTGCATTCATTTTGGAGACTTGAATCGTTAGCTTTCAATTTTTATTCAAAGTTTTTCGTTTGCTTAATGCGTAAATGCACATAAAATAATGTTGTTCAAATGAAGAAGGGAATGATGATGAGAACTTACAGCTACAAGGCACAACAATTTTCCAATGCGCAGTTGAATTCCGGAACCTATCCCTAGGATTTAAACACTACAAAAATTGTACAAGTGACTAAGCTACAGCAAGAGACATGCAGACATACATAAGTGTACCCTTAGAACCTAATAAAATCATACGAAATGGAGCGCACAGAGCGCTCTCTCTCTCTCTCTCTCTCTGTCTCGGTTAACCCTTCTTGAACTTGAGCAACAGGATGGTGAGCACAAGGAAGACCAGCACCCAGGATGATATCGATATGAAGCCATTGTACACGGTGGGATTGTCAATGCCCCAGCCGCGTTGCAGAATGGAACGCATCGATTCCGTGGGCTTGGTCAGCGGCAGAAAGGCGGTGGCCAACTGCAGCAACGGGAACATGCCCTCGATGGGCCATATGATGCCGCACAGCATCACAATGGGCAGAAAGGAGCCCATGGCCACATACGTCGCTGTACGCTCCGTGTCCACGGCGCAGGAGATGACAAACCCGAAGCTCATGCCGCACAAGCCGTTGAGAATGCACAGCGCCACCACCAGCCAAATGTCGCCCACCAAAGTCAACTCAAAGAAGTAAAAGCTGACAATCAGCACAAAGATCGTTTGGCTCAGCATCACCGTGAACTGTGTGACGACCTGGGAGAGCAGAATTTCGGGGCCCGTAATGCCCGCCACCAGGCAACGCTCCAGCATGCCCTCATTGCGCTCAATCAGCATGGCGCCGGATGTAATGGCCACGGAGAGAAAAAAGATGATGGTTAGAATAACGCCTGGAGCGGCAAAGTCCGTAAAGTTGGGATTCCGATAGCCATAGATGGGCTGCTCGACGAAGACGGGCACGGTGCCCAGTTTGGGATTCATTTCGCAATCGGTCAGCATGCCCTCCACAAAGTTGAAGAAAGTGTACTGCAGATCGCGATAGAGCAGCGTCGAAATTTGTTGATCTGCCGGGGGGGAAGAGTTGAAGTTTAACAAATGAAAATAGAAGGAGGAGGAGAGCTGCTACTCACTGGACCAATCCATGCGCACGCCCAAATCGGAGGCCTCAATGGTGGCATCCTCTGCATAGCGGCCATCCTCGACACGTTCCATCAGCGCTGTGGTATAGTTGGGTTGGATGACCAAAGCGGCCCAGGCACGGCCACGTTTCACCTCCTCATAGGCGGTTTCATCATCGTCCACATATTTCTGGAAGGGCGGAATGGTATGGTAAATGGCAAGAGTCAATCAAATGCTCATTCAATTAGCTTAAAAAGTCATTGCACCTGGCAGACAGATGAACGGAAGGACTGGCTGGTTGTTGCGCAATTAAAAGAGGAACAAGGGCGTGGCATAGGGGAGTGGGGAGTGGGGGAGAAGCCGCTGAATTATTGAGCAACGCATGTCGTGGGATTCAGGCCGCGTTGCCTGCCAGCCTGCCCAAGAGCACTTCCTTTCTTGGAAGCTTTGTGCCAGCGCTCTCGCTCTTTGTGCCTCATTGTGTGTCGTGTGTCTGGTGTCTGTGTGCTTCATTTCCTGTCGCATTGTTTGTTGCATGTTGGAAGGGGAGTGGTGTGGCGCTTGTAGGCAACAATAAAAGTAACTCCCCGTAATTAATGTGCGTACTTTGCGCCAAAAGCGATAAATTCAGCGAGGCAAACAAATCAAGAAACAAAAGGACAAGCAGCAGCGGCAGCGGAAAAACACTCCTCCCCTCCTGCTTTCTCGTCTGCCTGCTGTAGCTGTTGTCAACAATATGTTCCATGTTATCTTTAACAATTTCATTTCTACGCACAAAGAGAAAAAAAAGGAAAAAAATAAATAATGAAGTGTAAGCCTCCGCCGCTGCTGCTACGATTCTTAAGCTAGTTTCTGTAAGTGCTTCACACATTGATTAAGTTGCTGGTTTGGAAGTTTGGCCCCCGAAAGTTTTGCCAGCCACTTGGGTGTGCGTGTGTGTGTGTGTGTGTAGGCCGCAGACTAGGGCGAGAGTTTCTTGCCACAATATGTGCGTTTCGGGTTGGGTTTGGGTTGAAGCGTGTATTGGCATGTGTATTTGGGCTAAGCTGAAGCAATTTTGCGGCTTCGATATGCAGTTATTTAAAGCAAAGAAAGGAGAGGGTAAAGTTCTAGGAATAGGCATAGAAACGGGCATGAAATTTCCGCAATTGCCGCATTAATGCCGAGACAAATGAAGACATTCCGCAAACGTATCTGTGCCCAGGGTACAACTGTGTGCCTTTAATTGCCACTCATTAGATTTAATGGCCATGCTGGAACGTGTGTGCAGAGCACACCTTAAAGTTCTTCAGTTTGTTGTGGCATAAATTATGCTATTAAATAGCCTTAGAGCCCAGCCCTTCTTCCTCATCAGACAATCAAACCGCAAAAGAGCTTGAACAACTTTTATGCTACTGTTTTGAAGCTCAACTTGAAACATTGTTTATGACGAACTTGAGCCACAAACTATGCGCAAATGAAGTCAACTTTGGTCAGCAGTACCAGCAGCAGCAGCAGCAGCAACGCAAATGAGCTCGAAAGAAGCAAAGGGAGAAAAAGTTTCCCCACCTTGGCAGTTTTTTGTTGCGCCAAGTTGCCTCATAAAATCTTTGCCCACAAGTGGATGGAAAAGGAAGAGGAAAAGTCCCCCTGAAAAACTCCATTCTGCGTAAGTTAAAGCTTGTCGCTAATCAAGTGCCATCAGGACTTTTCCCTATGGAAAAAAAAGGTGTGTACAAGCAGAACAAAGTGCAGTTTTGGGCAGTGAATATTCTTGGCCACGCCCCCCGTGGCCTAATGAGCAGCGTTGTCATGCCTAATGAACTTTTAATTAGAAGGCAGCCACGGCTGACCACAATATGTTTTTCAATTTTCCCATAAATTACAGCGGCAGCAGAGTTTTCGCCCCCTTTTTGGGAAGTTTTTTTGTGTAAAATTTCATACCGGGGCAGCCTTTCAGTTCAGGTCGCCCCAAGCGCTGGGAAGAGCAATTTTTGTGTCGTTAAGACGAGGGTAACCGAAAGCGCGTTTGATCTACAGAAAGATGGTGGAGAAAGGCAAAGGAAAACAGGCAACCACAAGGCAAAAGAACACTGCCGAACACACACAATTGGGGGCTCGAAAAGCACGAGGAGTCCCCAAAAATTGATGCGCTTTTTGGTGCCTTTTTGGTAACGCCAAATATATGCAAGCTGTCATCAGCAATGGAGTCAAAAGGAAAGGCAAAAGTGATAAAAGTACAGACCACGAAGTACCCTGTTTAGATGCACAGAAATGTGGCTTCATCCAACACCAATATGCCCCGAGTCGCGTCTTGGCACGGGGGGAAAAACTGTTATTGGAAAAGCAACCAGCCAAAGGCAACAAGAAAATTCAAATTATTTTTTTTTGGCTCCGCCTCCAGCTGCTTGAGAGAGATCGGTAAGGTGAGATGGCTCAGTGTTCTGGCCATGTGCTGATGGCACGTTGATACGCTGTTCATTGACCAAAATTAACTTTTGCTGCCTGCCGGCTCTCTCCCTCTTCGCTTTTGGCTTTTGGGGCTGACCAGACAGTGGGCCCAGGGGCGGCTCTTTGATGCGGCCTAAAGATACGCGGCCGCTTTTTATATCTCTTTTTTTTTGCTCTTATTTTTATCTTTGGACTTGGAATTTATACAAATTAAGTATGATAGGAGGATGGGGGATGGACTTGTTTTTCAATTTCCAAAAGGTAAACAAAACTTTTCTTCACAAATTGCCAGTTGCGGCATTGCCAATGGAAAATTGAAGAAAAGTTGAGGGCAGGTCACGGTCTGTTGGGGTGCACCGTTTCCTTTTCGTTTGCTTTTATTGGCCCCCAAATGTTGTCTCAATATGATTGTCTTTGCCGTGGCAGGACAATTGATTGTCGATGAAAATTTGCAGCTTAAACGTTCAATATGATAATATTTTTTGGAGGCCTTTGGGCCTTTTGGAGGAACTTTAAAATTTGCATGAAATTTTGCAGCAAAAAAACTTTAAAATTTGCAAGAAATTTTGCAGCGTAAAACTATAAATTTTAGATGCAATTTCCGCTTGGAACTTGACTTCTTTGGGCAGCAAACTTTCGTGTTTTGTGTTTGTGTTTTTTCTCTATAAAACTTATTGAGAACAATGCTTCCGGTTTTATGCCGTTTTCTAATGTAAAATGCATGAAATAATAAGCAACGGACAGCAAGAACTGGAACTCAAATTAGGCAGCAAAAGAGAGGACTTTGTTTTCGAGGAGTAATTTGCAATAAATTGCCAGAAGCAGCAGGCAGCAGGCAGCGTCCCAAAGCCATAGCTGGAACTGGACCTGGGGTCAGTGCTGGACAGTAAATTTATTGATGATCTCGCAACGACTGGGGCCCGTTGTTGCTGTTGCTGTTGCTGTTGCCAAAGATAAGCAGCTGTAATTTGTGTGCGCCCAAACACCAAGGGCAGCAGCAGTCCAAGCAGCACTCCACAATTTGTGGCAGGAGCAACAGTAGCCAAGGCAATGCCAAGTCGATACTTGGGTCAGGCCTTGGAAGTAGTGGGCAGGGCAGGGAGGAGATGATGTGTGCAGCAGATTGAAGAGCAGGCAGCCAGCCACTAGGGCCAGGGGCAGCAGCGCTCCTCTCGGGCTGTCCTCACAAATTGAAATAAATTACAGGAATGGCCGGCCAGCAGGGCAGCATCAGCTACATGGATGGGTTATTGTAAACTTCTCACTGCACAAATGCACAAACGCAAAAGCCAATGACAGTTGATATTGCGCCCAAGGGGGGGGGGAGGCCTGCTCCTCTCTCTAGATGGCAAGGCTTAACATATACTCACCACAACCATGCTCTTGTTCTTAACCAGCATATCGAGATAGCGGCAGCTCAACATTGTCTGATTGCATCCGGCCTGGACTGGGCAGAATTGTTGCATAATCATTTCCTCGGACATCTCATGATTGGCCACGGCCACTTTGAGGCCGGTCGGATCATGACCGATGGCATAGCAAAACAGCAAAATCTGCACCACAGGCAGACCGACAATGAACAGCATAACACTGAGGATAAAGTGTATCAAAAGTTAGTTGAAGGTAGGCAGAAATGAGACCCCCTAACTCACCCCACATTGCGCATCATCCAGAGAAAGTTCTTCCAAATGAGCGCGTGCAAATGATGCGATTGCATCACATGAAGGTTGTACCAAAAGGATGTGGGTATCTCCTGGGCTGGCGGCAAGGGTGGTGCCACCGGCGCGGTGGTCGTAATGGGATCCCTGGCAGCCGAGGACATGGAAATGTTGTCGCCAAACTCGCCGGAAATCTCCGCCGCATGCTGCTCGTCGGACATGTCCAGCGCGGGATTCGAGATGGCTGGCACCGTCACCTGTTCGACTATCTCCTGGGCAATGGACGAGCGCCGCCGCTTGCCCATGTTCTGCATCACGGAGAGCTTCAGAAAGACCGCCTCCAGTGAGTCGGCGTTGTATTGCTGCCGCAGATAGTCCGGGGATTCCTCCGCCAGCATTTTGCCGCCGCGCAGCAAGCCAATCTGAAAGAGAGAGAGAGAGAGAGAGAAAAGAAATTGATTTGGTGCGTGATCCAACCGAGAAGAGAGTGTCGCCCAGGCAATTAAACTTTTGTTGACTTTGATGGAGAGTCGTTTGGAGAGTCACTTCCTGGCCCAATCTTTTGTAAAGTTTTTGGCCAATGCCAAAATTATGCACAACTCTGGGGGCAGTTGCCCAGCGTCGTTGCAAAGTTTTATTGACTCGATGTTCGGTGTAATCCTTGTAGTGCCTTGTCCTTGCAACGTGCGGAAATTAACTTAATTGATTTCTGTGTCCGTACATGACCAGCCAGACACCCAGACACACACATAGGGCAATGCTCTGTGTGTCCTGTGCCAAGTTGCTGGCCAAACTTTGCTACAAAACTTGTATCTTCCGCGTCAACTGGCTGGGTCTTGGCTTGTGCCCATCAATTCCAAACGCTTCCAAACGCTGGGTTGGCTTCATTAGGCATGCACATGAGTTGAGTGGGCACCGAAATATCCAGACCACACTGCGCATCGAATTTTCTATGCTAAATAAACCCACACACAAAAGTTTTGCTGCTTGATTTGGCTTTCGTTTGCCTGATTTCTTCGTCCAGGAAATCGCCCATTTCCTCCATCACCGCTGCCTGTTGTGTTTTGGCTACGCTCTCTCTCTCTCTCTCTCTCTCTCTCTCTCTCTCTCTCTCTGTGTCTTTTTGACTTCTCCTAGAGCCAATTAACGTCTTAATTGAATTGCATTGGCTGCAAACCAAATTAGAAACTTCCTGAAGGCAATTGTAGCTCGCAGACGTATGAGACTCGTGGGGCATTGTTATGGCTGCGGCGCAGTTTTTTTGTTGCATGCCATAAATAATTTTCCCTATTTTGCACACACGCAGCGGAAATGTTAGAATTGAAAAATGCACACGATATTCATGGCCCGGTAGCTGGGGTTACGAAGCGTCCACTTAGTGGAGTTGGAAATTTATGCGGGTAAAATATATATATTTAAAGTTGATTTATAATCAAGGTTGTGCTTATTATATGTGGGATATTAGCTGGAAAATGGGAGAGCAGAGGGGGCATTTTTGTAGCTTTGGGCAGCCAAAAGTTTCAACTTTAAACAGCAAAAGGTTCTCCCTTTATGTTTCTATTTTACGCCCACACGGCTAGCCTTTACCCTAATTGACAAATTCCTCTACTAAGAGGATAGTCTCAACTTGAACACCTAAAAAACCAACTAAAATCTGCAGCCAAACTGCTCAACTATTCCATTTTGCCTTTTAGGTGCGACAGCCTTAAAACTTTATTGCCGGGCACGTAAAAAGAGGTATCCCTACGCTCGTTTGGCGTTATATGAATTGTTAATATTATTTTTTATGCTGCAAGCAGGCAGGTAGCTTAATGCATAATAACATGCCACGTGTAGCTTCGCATTAAAATGCCAATCAAAGGGGTTGGGCAAGCAAAGCCATCGGCAGGATACAGCAGGATATGCCGAGTGGTGGCTGAATGTTTAATTAAACAGCAAAATCCACTGGCCCCATGATGTTGTCTGTCATTCATCAGCTTTAGCAATTATTTCAACTGTCCATTTGCATTTTGGCTGCCCCTTTCTTACTCTCTTTTTTTGGGATATTCAAAGGCAACATGCGGAAAATTACGCGACAGAAAAAGCGTTGGAGGAAATGCAAACTGGAAACAATATAAACTATTAAAAGGCGCAAGGCAGAAGGCAGAAGCAGCAGCAGCAGCAGCAGGCAGCAGGCAGCAGCCGGAACGAGAGTAAATGCTGTCGCAGTGGCAGTGGCTGCTGGTCCCTGGTCCGGTCCACTCGTATCCGTAACAATATATCCATCACATAATGTTACGCTCCCTGATTTCATTTATTAGAGCTGAAAGTGCTGCATGTACAGTCACAGACAGTGCTCCAGTGCTCAGACCCAAAACTCCACTCCCACACACTGTCCTCTGTCTTCAGTGTGTGGTGGCCATGTGGCGTATACGCGATTGCTCTCTAAATACACTGCTAAAGGACATGCCTAACATAACAATATGCTTTGCAAGGAAACTTAATAAATATAAATATAATTGAATATTAAAATGAGTGAAAACTGCTGTCAAAATTAAGGTAGAAATGTTCGATAAATTCTGTAAGTGCATCCTTTGCTTCGACTGTCTCTGCTGCCTGTCCTCGTCTTTTTTTTTGTGTTTTAGCTTCTGTCTCTTTTGGGTTTTTCTTTCCCTTTTTGTGTGTTTTTGAACCAACAATTTCCCAGGAGCCAAGGCAAAGGCAGAGCTGACATTAAATTCGGGGGAGCAATGTCTGTCATACAAAAAAAAAAGTGAAGCGCTGCACTTTGTTAGAGGGAGGACAAGGACAACGACAACGACAACGACAACGACGACGTGTAGAAGCCATTCTGTTGTGTGCTGCTGCTGCGGGTTGGATGACCCCGCGTGGAGCATGTGTGTGGAGGACCTTCAGGAGGTTGTTTTTGTGGGGGAGGGTGGTAGTCAGTCTCCGGCTAATGACGACACCATTGCAGGGCGTTGATGCTGTCTCATAATGCGATGAATGGCAGCCTTTGATGTGGCTACACGAATTTAAGCCAGAGAATGCTTTTAGAGACAGAAACAAAAGCGGAGAATATAACATAGAAATAATATGGAAATGTTTCCATTCAAAACTAAATTCGTTTTTAGCCACTGGACATAAATAAAGCTGCAGCTACTCGAACTCGGATTTAATGACTTTTTGTAACAGATTAAAATTTAATAATCGCCATGCGAGGTGTGTTGTGCGGTTTTTTAATGCCAATAAATATATTTCAATTAAAATAGAAACTTTAAATCTTAATCGCTGCACAATATACAGAACGAATAACAATAACCAAAAATTAAAGCACATAAAAACACGCACGAAAAGTGGCAGCTAACGCACACACACAGACACTCTAGGAAACACACACATACACACACACACACACACACATACTCAGACACCGAGTCGTAAATGCATTTTACGAGTATGTTTAATGCATTTTCGTTCTTTTTTTGCTTTTGCTTTTGCTTTTTTGAGTGCATCATCATCATCGACATGGAGTGGCTGTTGCAGCTGCCCGAAGCTGCCTGCAAAAAACTAACATCAATTTTTTTGTTGTTTTGTGCTGCGCATAATTTTTATAGCCACATGAATTTTCAGCTTATAAATTGGCAACATGCCATAATAATATTTAATGGCAGTGGGGGGGGAGAGAGAATAGATCAAGTGCCGTGTAGAGGTGCCAATTGAAGTGCGTTGCTCAATCAGGACTCCGTTGTTAAAATTTACGAGCACGAGTACGAGTGTGTCCGCACCGTTCTTAGCCATTCGAGTGGATGGTTTAGCATCTATACCCCATGCTGGACACGCAATTCTGTTGACTCAACGCAAAAAAACAGGAGCAAAAACAGAGACAAAATAAACCACAAAAAAGGCACAGAGAAACCCAAAGGAAAAGCTCAAGTGAAGTGCTCCTGGCGTGCGGAATTGTCGAAAAAATATGTGCACATAACTGCCTAGGACGGAGCACTGACTGGAGCCCCAAGAGCTCTGGGGGAAACGTGAACGTGAAATTGCAGTTGTTGTTCGAACCGAACTCCAGTTGGTCAGATGTTTCCAGGAAGCTTGAGCTGACTGAGCTGCAGAGCCAAAGTGTGCCAGAAGCAGACAAAAAAAACCTGTGACAAAGCTGAAAAAGCAATTTGCTGCCTGGCATAATACTCCGAGAGGCAGAGGCTACTGAGGCGTGCACCAATCCCGACTGTGCGATGTGAAACGGAAGCCAACACGTGTTCAATATGAGCAATTAAACACTGTCACCAAAAGTTACAACAGAGAGACAGAGAGATGTCCTTAGGGGTACGCGTATGTGGGCCATAAATTTCAACCAAAAATTCGAATTAAATTCACATTTCAGCGCGGTTTGCGAATAGATTAACTGAGCGGTCTCCATGGTGGATGGGGCCCGGAATGCTTATTGTTTTATGGACTGCCCGAGTGTTGCCCGAGTGTCCCCAGTGTCTCAAACAAAGCGCCAGGTTTTTCTATGCCCTGGCAGTGATTTTGTTTATTGGCCATAACTCTTTGCCGCAATGACTTTCGGCGGGGCTGTATCTTACGTTGTTTGTGTGCCTCGAATGAGGGATGAGCTCTTTGAATGTCCTCTGGGGCAGGGTCAAGTGGGGTTAGAGCTCTAAGCTTATTGTTTAAGGATTTAACATGAATTATGTGCACATAAAAGTCGCTTAAATTTAAAGAGAATTTAAAGAGAGAGAACTCGTTTTCAATCATAGATCATGGCTGAGTTTTACCTAAACCAATGTGCTCAGTGAATAATTTCTGAGGCGAGCAAAATCAATCATTCGCTTTAAACGTTGAAGGTGTGGAGGTCTGTCCAGCTCACACTTTCTCCCCCCTTTTGGGGTGTGTGTGTGTGGTGCAGCATCAATCTTTTTCAAAGTGTTGTCATTGATATATTCGTTGCTCAAACCAACTCACACTTCACTTGAGCGTGTAAGGACTTTGTTTGTTTTATGTATATGCCCATGGCCATGTGCGTGTCTCTGTGTGCTCCTCCTCTGCCTGTAGTGGATTTATATCTGCCTAAAGTCAGCTTGTCCATTGTGATGGGCTTTGTCACGATTTATTCGTGTATTTTTCTGTGTATTTCCTTGTAGCCGCCCAAGTTCATTGTTTGCTGCACGCATTAAATGACTAACGCAGTTATATTTGCCTACACGCCAGTCCGCCACATCCACCATCCAACCTGCGCCGCACTCATGTGTGCGACATAAATAAATCTGAAGTACAATTTTTGCAATGTGTCTCGCTCGGAAATGCCTCGTAAATCTGTGCCTCCGGCCATGGGTCAGCTGTCTGTAATATTCTTTTTTTTTGTATTCGTACAGGACACAGATTTGTTGCAACGCGCAGGATACAAATTTGCCACGGGGCCGGGCATGGGCGGAAGCACTTAGCGCCGCTTGTTGACAGGCGCTCCACTTGAGCTGATAAGCGCTGAACTTTCACCTCTGCCAAGAGAGAGAGAGAGAGAGCGCATAATATTGCTCATACGCCGCATAGTCCAAATAGATGTGAGAGCGGATCATAAATCAAATGTGCAAACAATGCGTGGGCATTGACACTTGGCCGCCCTCTAGTGTCGCACTTCCCACACCAATTCTCACTTACCATATGCGCCTGGGCACACTCGTCAATGTAATGCGTGGTGATTATCACAGTTGTGTGACCGTTTCTTGTAATGTCCACCAAATGATCCCAAATGCTGCACAGAAACGAGAACGAAAACGAGTTAATCAGCTGTCAGCAGGGGGAGGAACTTCCCATCACTCACCTCTGTCGCAGCACTGGGTCCACGCCCACCGTGGGCTCATCCAGAATGAGCAGCTCCGGTTCGTGGAGCAGCGCCACGGCCAAGCTCACGCGTCGCTGCTGCCCGCCGCTCAAATTCTTGACAAATTTCGAGCCATTTGGCAAATTGAGCAATTTGAGCAGGAATTCGGTGCGATCCTCGATGTCGCTGCGTGGCATGGCCGAGATAATGCCAAAGTAGATTAAGGTCTCACGCATTGTGAACTCGCCATAAAGGGCTATCTCCTGCAAATAAAACGCAAATGGGTAAGCGGATATTATAGTTTTGCACCTGCAGAAAGCACCAAGCACCAAGCACCCCCTGCTCCCTGCACAAGCAATGTGAAAAACTGTTGCCTACTTTCCAGCGCTGCTGGTTTATGGCTCCCCACAGGAGGGTCCGGGCCAGCAGCAGCAGGAGGAGCAGGTACACTGAACATTCACAGTTTTGGGTCAGAGTTGAAGTATTCTTACGGATTGTGAAAATTAAAAGTTTTGTACTCTCTCTCTCTCTCTCTCTGTGTGTTTGTGTGGCATTTAAAAGTTTTGCCGTTGGTATATGTTTTCTTTTGTGCTTGCACCATTTTATTGCGTTTATTTAATTTAGTCGAATGGTCTGGTGGGGGCATGAGGCAATAAAAAGAGCATGAAATATTCAGGCAGCCAGAGAGACTGCGAAACTCACCTGTGGCATATAGCCAATTCGAGGTCCGGGCACACCGGAACCACGCGAACCCGGCCGTCCGCCAAGCACCCAAATCTCACCCGAATTTAAGCGACGACGTCCAACGATGCAGCTGAGCAGCGTTGTCTTGCCACAGCCAGAGGCACCCAAAAGGCCATAGCTGCAATGGCAAAAAGAGCGAAAATATTATATAGAAATGATTTAAAGTGCTTCAAATATATTTTAGTGTGGGTAATGCACATGGATTGGGTAAATAAATATACAACAAATATTGTTTGAAGTTTAAAATATATATTTGGAAATTAATTTGTACAGACTATAAATATGCAACTGCAACGCCTTGCAGCTCATAGAAGTATATTTTAAAAGGGGAAAAAAATGCTCTTTAATTTGTAAAACTCTCCCGGTCCCGCATGCAAATTACAGCTGAATGTGCCACTGGCAGCAAGCACTTGTACGCGCGCGCTATGTGGAGCCTTCATTTAAGTTTTTGGGGGCGACCCATAAAGAGGTTGGCTGCTAGGCCAAAGTCAGGTGCACGATGGGGAGTCTGGGGGCGGGACAAATATTTTAAGCACTCGCAAAACCCACTGGACTCGCAGGCAGCAGCTGCACAAAGGCAGGCACGAGCTCAGAGACAGAGACAGAGACTGGGGCTGAGGCTGGGCCACCGAGGTACAAGGATGAAAAGCATCAGGTGAAAAATCAACTGTGAATAGTTTTGCAAAAATTTTCAGGCGCAAAAAGTTTCATTGCGCTGCAGCCAGGGGGGTGGCCAGCCAGTCCCCTAGTTCAGGTTCAGGTTGGTGCGGTATGTGCGCCGCTTATCTCATGTGTGCATGTGTGTGTGCGTGTGTGGAGGAGCTGTTGCAAAATATATTTAGGGAATGTTTAGCACAGCTTAGCGCGCCAGTCAGCCTGCTCATTCCCCACTAGCAAGCTGCCAAACACACACTGAAAGAAAATGTATTATAATTAATTAGGAACCAAAGAAGAATATTGCTGAAAAACTATGAATGTATTTAGTTTATTTTTGTTGTTGAATTTTTCTCTCAGTGCTGCTGCTGCTGCACCGACAACAACCTGCCCCCGAGCTGCCGTATTTTTTATTACGTGCGCAGCGCGCGAGTTTAGAAAATTGTTGGTCTGGCTGTTGAGGGCGGGTGGGGGCGATGGCGGGGGAGGCTGCCTCTCCAGGCGGTAGCAGCAGAGTCGCGGTTAGAGGTCGGTTAAGGTTGCTGCGGCTGCGAGTATATCTGTGTATCCCCGTGTGTGGGTGTGTGTGTGTGTATCCGTGTGTGTGTTTAGTCATGAATAACATGCAGGTCGAAGTGACTGCACTCAGTATTTGTGTGTGTGTGTGTGGGGCCACACTTGTTTAAGCCAAAGCAAAAAGCCAAAGGGGTAAATAAAAGCACAGCTCTGCGCTGGCCAGCTTAAGGACACACGAGAGTTGGACACACCAAGGCGTGGGCCATGGGGCCAACAATGGGGCCAGATACGATTAAACTCTGCTCTAAAACTGAAGCAGCAGTGATAAAACTACATAACTAAAAGCCGATAATTTGTTGGCTTTTATAAAGCGTTTTCAGGCCCTGAGCTGTGTGCGCGGCATTTAAATATTATTTGCTTTAATTAAACGTATTAAAATTCACACAAAAAACTTAATTGAAGCTTATGGAATTTCACACAAACTGGGAGCTAAAATGTAACACAAAAAAAGTGAACTAAAATTTATAAAATGTCACACGAAAAACTAAATTAAATTTTCACACAAAAAACTATACGAAGAATATGTTCAAAATAAATTGCAAATATTCGATTGGCATTCGATTGTATTTTTCAGCATTTAAATATGTGCTAGCAACAAAAATTGTCTATCAATAAATGTGTTTAAATGTAAGAAAATGATTATAAATATAAAAATGAATGCACAAAAGATATTTCAGCCAGGAGGGAATTAAATTTAATTGTTGAGATGAAACATAATTAGCCTTAAAAACAATTTTCCCTCAAGAAAACGCCAGCCAACTTGTCTCCATCACTGCGACATACTTGAGTATTTCCTCCCCGTTTTATGCCACTTTTCCTGTCGGTTATGTCCTCGCATTTAGCGGCTGTATTTGCATTTTGCATAAATCCAAATGCCGTAAAGCGTTAAATGGCCGTGTGTCGTGTTAGGAAAGGGGCCACAAAACATTCCGAGCCACAAATTACCCAACATAGTAGGGTAATACCTGCGCATATTTTAGCCACCTTCCTCTCCTTTTTTTCAAACAATAAGCAAACGGTGCAGACGTTGACGCTGACGACCCGAGTTGAGGTTGATTTTTAAACCCATTAACCTTTTTTCTGCTGCATTTACTCAGCGCTTGATGCATGCCGTGACAGGGGGTGGGCACCGTGATTGATGATTTGTGTGAGTCAAATGACTTCTGACATGCGGATTGTAAAACTGCAAAACTGCAGTGAAATATGCGCTAATTAATTGTCATTTGCAGTAACAGGCGGAGGGCGGACCATGAATTTAATATTTGATTTTAAAATTACAATTTTTCCACCATGCTGTGTCGCTGGCTGTCCCTTTGGTCGGAGGTGTCATTGGGTAATTAAATTTAATGTTTGCCTGTTTTCTGCCATGATATATCGACGCGGCGGACCCTGCACTCTCGGACTCTTTGCACAAAACTTTGCACTTGACTTTAACAATTAGTTTTGTGTGTGTACCACCTCCAGCCCTTACCCCATGCCACCGATGGAGTGAGGTGGAGTGGAGTGGCGGTTCTAGTTGTTGTTGCTAAGCAGCAGCGCGTCACAGGCAATTACAGGGGCGGTAATGCGTATTTAATTAACAAGCTTACTTAGTAGTTTTTCCAGGGAAAATTTAGCTCATTGTTTGGCCGAAAGCAGCTGGTTGGGGAGTAAAACTTACTTGACATTTAGACACTCAACGAGTCGTTGCCGCCGCCTCATGCTGCAATCTCCTGTAGCCTGTAGCCTGTAGCCTGTAGCCTGCAGCCGCCTGCCTATTTGCCTGTCCAATTAAACGGTAAACTTTTCTTGTGGCCATTCAATTCCCACACCAAACTGCTCAGCTCTGCCATTCCAAGGATGCTCTCGAAAGTAAAGTTTTTGCTGCTCTGTGCGAGTGGATCTGCAGATCTTGAATGAATCCTTTGTGTGTGTTATGGGGCTCGAAGCTAATTGAATTGTCATCGATTAATTGTGGCCTGTGACTGTGATAGGCTGCTCTTAAATTCAGTCATTTCGTGCGGCAGCAGATGCCAATAACAAACAGGACTCCGAGGCACTGAGACTCTGAGAGTCTCTGTCAACATTTCATTTCATTATTTGCCTCTAGGAGTAGTCATTTTTGTGAGCTTGTGAGCCGGCTGTGTGTTATGGCTAACCATCTCCTCTCTCTCTCACTCTCACTCTCTCTCTTGCTGTGTTTCGTCAAAAACAATGGCACAACATGGCGTATGCTTGATTTTTTTCAATTAGATACAGACGTACGCAATACGCATACACAATGCGAGTGGGAAGCAGTGCAGAGTTGGTCAGGAGCAGGGCAGTGGGCAGAGGCAGAGGCAAAGCAGTGCATGACAGAGCAGAGCAGCGGACAGAGCAAAGCAGTGCAAAGGAGAGCAGAGCAGTGGACAGAGCAGAGGGCAAAGCAAAGCAGTGCAAATCAGAGGCAGAGGCAGAGGGCAGCGCAGCGCGCAGAGCAGAAGCAGTGCAAAGTACAGCAGAGAACAATCAAACTCATAAAACTCAGACGGCTCTCGGGGTCTATGGGAATGTACGCTAATAATTAAAATTTGCCTGGGACCAAAGATAAGTCCCAAAGACACATCAGACGCCACACACACAAAGAGAGGGAGAGACAGACAGAATGAAAAGTTATGAACTATAGAGTTTTGGGAGTGACTACTGGACTGGTCCACTTACACTCGACTGCCAGCCGCCAGTGCCACAGCTCCCCATGTACGTGCCAGCACTTGACCCAAGCAGTTGCAACAGTCATAACAATGACTGGCTGATGTTGTTACCACCCCCTCCCTTAGCTGCCCTAGCTGTCCATTTTAATTTTTGCAGCTGGTGTAAATAATTTAAACAATTTCATGTGCCGTCCAACAGGAATGCGAGAAACAGCAGAGAAATGTTTGGGTATTATTTGTTGCCAACCTTTTGCCTATCACTTTGCGGTTGCCTTCTCTCTTCTCTCTTCTCTCTTGTCTCTCTCTTTTTTTTCGTATGCTTTCAACCAAAAATTTTTGCTGGCCAAGTTAACTCGAGTCCTGGCCAGCTTGTGCCATGGAAAAACAAATGAAAACAATAACATGTTGTCCTGCCGCTGCTGATCTTTTACGGCAGAGTTGAGATTGCAACATTGGCTGACTGTTCCTCCTCTTCCCGCTCCTCCTTGGCTTCGCTTTCTGTTGCTGCTGCTTGAAGAAGACCTTTCCTTTCACCCTTGTGGCTGCATTCATGTTCAGTCCAGTTCCCAGTTGAGTCAGTTTTTGGTCTGCCTGCCTGCCTCTCTCTGTTTGTTTGTCTGGCAGCGTGTCTGTTGCATATCAGTGTCTCAGAGCATATCCCTTGCTGCCTGTAATCTAGACAATTTATCCCACCCTTGGAATGTTTTTGTATTCCAATATTTTAGTTTCTCCTTTGGTTTGCCTGCATGTTAATCAACTTTTGCTGTGGCCCCAACAATTGCTTATTAAATGGCAAAAATCAAACGAAGTAAACTCTTTTTTGGGTGGAGACTGGAGGCTGTTTTTATGGGGTGACGACTGTGTGCTGTCGGGCTGGCCATTTTGGTTAAATATTTGACTGCTGGACAGCTTTTAACACAATTTTTGCGCTACTGCCTTTGCTCTATTTGCTTCGTTAACCGCACATGCAGACCGACAAAAAATATAGAGAAAATATAAAGAAAAAATCGGAAAAAAACTTTTGTTTGACCGTCCGGCCATAATGCTAAACTTTCTTGCGCTTGATTCCCATTTCTTCTTTTTTTTTGTCAAATGCAGAGCAAACCAATTACAAAATTCACAACCACAGCCGGAGAACACACAAAAGTGGGCCATGGACGGAGGCAGCAGCGATACCTCCGCCCACCCTGAGTGTCCTGAGTGCCCCACACAGAAACAA